TCTCATTTCTGTGGTATATCGTCTAATTTTATCATTATCTAGAGATTCAGCATCTAAACTGGTTAGATTGTATTGTTCAAGCATGTTTATGAAATTGGAAAAATATCCGGAATTATTCATAGAATGTAGATTCTTTGACATAAGGAGAGACTGTTTGACTATAGAGTCATTATCTTTGTTGTTGAGGTAAACAAAATATTTCATAATTTTCTGATTTATCGGGATAAGCAGCGGCAGTCTATCAAGTTCAGCTCTGCAGGCTATGTTAGAGGCCTTATTGTTAACCTCTAAGTAACGTTTACAGAATTTGAGGTGGATTTTTTCTATTGGGTAGCTATCCCATTTTTTAAAATCTTGCTTGGTATACATTCCCCATACCTCGCTGTTGTAACTCAAGATTGGGAATACCATGGTGTCAAAAATTTGGGATGCAGTATTAGGATTAAGTTTGTTAAGAATTGTCCGCTTCCGAATACTAGAAAACGCGTGAAGAGCCTTTTCTTTTAAGTGTTCGAGTGCAAGTGTAAAGTTACCCGTTGGAGTTAAACGTGTACCTAAATAAGTGTATTCTTGGACAATTTCAATTGACTCACTGCCTATGTTGAATTTGATGTCAATAGATTTTTTGGGCGTTTCTGGAATATCATAATTTTTTTGTTTTCTTCGGATTAATTTTTAGCTTCCATTTGTCACAATACAAAGAAAGCGCATTTAAACAGTTCTGTAATCCAGTTTTCGATCTTGATAGAATAACTAAATCATCTGCGTAGAAAAGTGAATTTTTTTTTTTTCCCATTTGGGAGAACAAATGGGTCAGATAAGGTGTTTTCGAATAAAAGTGGTAGATTGTTTAAATAGAGGTTAAATAAAAGAGGACTTAAAATACAGCCTTGACGTACACCTCTGGAATATGAAAAAGGCTGTGTTTTGTTTTCACCGATTTTGATGGAACATGTCGAGTTGCAATAAAGACTTTTCATGAGGTTGTACAAGTTTCCTCCTATATTCGTTTTTAGCAGCTTATAAAACAATCCTTCGTGCCAAACAGAGTCAAACGCTTTGCGGAAATCTACGAAACAAGCGTAGACTTTTTCCTTGTGATAATGCACATATTTATCTATTAGGATCCTTAGAGTGAAAACATGGTCTGCAGTGCGGTTTTCAGGCAAAAAGCCAATTTGGGAATTATGTAATATCTTATTTTCCTCAAAATACAAGTGAAGTCTTCGATTTAAAATAGAACAGAACAGTTTTCCAAGGCAACTAGAAACACATATGCCTCTGTAATTTGTTGGATCACTCTTGTCACCAGATTTGTAAATTGGGGTTATGAGGCCTTGACACCAAACAACTGGCATTTTTCCGGATTGTAAAATGAGGTTAAAAAGTTTGACATAGACAGGCATTAGTGGTTCGAGGCTTGCTTTGATCATTTCATTTCGTATTTTGTCAACAAATGGTGATTTCTTATTTTTCAATTTCTTCGCCGCTTGACGTATTTCCCTCTCAGTTATCTCATAATCGAGATGGTTAAACTGTTCCTTTTCGTGTTCTAAAGAATTTAGTTCCCTATGGATTTCATGTTCATGCGTGGAATTCGTCGGGTCAATAGAATGCAGAGATTTGAAATGGTGAAGCCATGATTCTTCCGAGATTGGGGCAGGAACATTTTCGTTGAAAGTGTCGCTCATCGAATTTAAACAATTCCAAAATGACGCCTTGTCAGGATTTAAAGCTAGTTCGTCGAGTTGTAATGTTTTTTCTTTGTGGAATCCTCTCTTCTTTGTGTCTAGGAGCTTTTTGTAATCATTCAAGGTTTTGTGATATCTTTCCCGCACTTCGGAGTTGAGGGGGTGACGGTGCTTTTCATTTGAGACTTTTCGTAATTCATGCCTTTTCAAGCGACATTCACAGTCGAACCATTTCTTGTTGGATGATTTCTTAACACGCTTATAAGTTTTCTTAGCTTTAATTTTTAGGCACAGCTTGGAGGTCTCAGTTAGAATTTCCATAGCGTTTTCTAAGGAGATATTTACATCTTCGGTGTTTCTCTCCATATATTGTCTAATTAGAATTTGGATTGGTTCCGTGCGCAGTGCGTTTTTGAATTTTAAATGTGAGTCAACTTCCCAGCAAAATTGCCCTGGTAATTTTGATAATCTATTGCTACTATTTGGAGTGTGCATTTCGTCTCCAATTAACCTGGTGTTAAGATTGAGCCATGCCACGATGGCACTATGATCCGATAAATAAGATGGCTGTTTAACAACAAAATTTGCAACGTTGAGAAATGTACACTGATCACATATTAGATAATCAATAACGCTCGTTCCGTTTTTTCCATGAAAAGTGGGTCTGCCTAGGATATCTCCATTAACTCTGCCATTAACTATTCTTAGGTCAAAGGTTTTACAAATTTCCAACAGCCGTTTCCCATGGCTATTTAAAACATTATCAAAACTGTTTCTTTGAGTTGGCTGGAAAGCAGATTCCGACTGATCATTACTAATTCTACTGTTTCCCTCCTTTGAGACAGTATCAGAGTATTTCCCGGTTCTCGAGTTAAAGTCACCCATGAGAATTATTGATCCTTTCGAAGAAAAACGTACTATGTCTTGTTCTAGCTGATCAAAAATTTCGAAGTATTTTGAGTTACAGGGGGGTATATAGACACCACAGACGTAAATATTCTTCACTGAATTTAGAAAACGATTCTCAATTTTAAACCAAATAAAATGCTGAGTTGTTTTAGTGATGGAAATGTTTTTATGGAATTTGTTCTTATAAAATAAAGCGATTCCTCCGGAGTTACGCCCACCTCTCCCCGACTGATTTGGTGTGGGACATCGAAAAAGAGATTTGTATCCCGCAATTTCCAGATTAGAGCAGTTGCCAATTTCTGTTAACAATATAAAATCGGAGTTATTAATAACACTCACAAAATCAGTATTATCTAACTTATTTCCAAGATATTTCGAAGAAAGGCCATTAATATTCCAAGCGCAAAAGGACAATGTGCTTGAAATATCGGGACTATCTTCGGTGTCCGTGATTGTATAGAAAATAATAAATGGATTAGTAGTAGTAGTAGTAGTAGTGATAGTAATAAAAAGAAGGAAGAGTAGCTAGTAGGCGAGTAGTGAGTCACCGACTTTTTATTCATTGACTCCACTTTGCTATTGATGGATTTATATAAGATTTGCTAAATGCGTCAAAAACTGCCAAATTATTTCAAGATATCCTTACCGGTTATTCGACCAAGTATCATTCCATGAGCTTGCAAATAGCTTCCAGCATATCCTGCCACTTGAGCTCCAAGACTGAACCCCACAATGTAGAAACGATCGGTCGAACTAGCTGAGCCAGAGCTAGTAGAACTAATCAGGAACCTTATAAGCTCCGCTGTCTGAACACCCACAAGCCGTGTGTTCCCGGCTGCCTGGCCGTAATTCCAGGGCGGTCCTTTAGCCCCTTTTGGCCAGTCCACCAAAATCACATTGCAGTCTTCACGATTTAAAAGTTCAGTTTTCAATTCTGTGGCCCAGGTGTTGATGCTTTCTGTGCAGTAATATGAGTCAGACAGTAAATCTGCGAAGTGTGGCTTATTTTGACTATTATATTGGATTCGATAAGTTACAAAAAGGCGGCCTTCCAAGTTTAAAACGTTGGGTGTTGTAACATAGGAAAGAGTATCAAAGGTAGTTAGGGGAAAGCAGACTGCGCTCCCCTTTATACACCAAGGCCCACCCACTCGGTGCCGGTTTAAAACCAGAGATAGCCTTCACAGCCGAGTTGTTCAAAGCTGGGTCCTGAAATAAACTTACCCGGGATTAGTGCGAAATTTTAATTCGGCTATGAAAGCTAAACCCTCGGACTTACACGCAAATTTATACCCCAACCGTGGTACAAGAGGGTGGGGGTTTCTGGGACCCCTCCCACGAGTTTTTGATATGTTACAGTATTTTGAAACGATTTTGTCTTTAGTGGAAAGCCTTTGATCTTCTTAACAAGATGAGGTATATTTTAGGGGGGGGGGGGGGTGGCGCTGCTTTGAGGCCTCTGACGTCACCAACAATGGTCGACATCTTGGATTTTACCAGTGCTTTACATGAAAAATAACACATAAATAAGCACTTTGCATGATTTTAGCCACAAGATTTACTTTTATTGTTGAAAAAAAGTTGAAAAAACATGTATTTTCACCCAAAATTTGCTCGACTGCCTTCTACTTATGACGTCATAGCTCGTGATAGCAACTGATCATCACTAAACTTAAGCTTGTCTCAAAATGTGCGCGATGGATTAACGAACAGCACCTGAAAACGTCAGGTACTGATGTTTTATCCTCTAGGAAAAACCCTTACGGTGGGGGGGAAGGGGAAGGCGGGGGGTTTGGCATCCTTCCAGTTTAGTACGTCCCAGGATTATAAAGGAAATTCATCGTAATTCTTTTTGTCTACAATTTGACGATTGAATGCCCTAAAGAGAATGTAGAAAATTTTCCGAGGAAAAGCTCTTGAGCAAAAACAAAAAGAACCTGGATGAAAATTTAACCCCGGGTAAGCGCTAATTAGCCTTTGAACAAATGGGCACAGTAGATTATAGTAAGTAGCTTTAAGTGTTCGATTTCGACGATCAAAACAGATGTTTGCAAACAGGTTATACCCAGAGAAGGAGAAACCGTCGCACAGTTTCAAACTAAGAAAGGAAGTGGAAAATATTATTTCCATGAATGAATATTAAGTAACTTCGATTCCACAGCAAGAGATTGGGATGAATGACATGACCTTAGCCTTATAGCGCTCGTTTTCCAAAATTTCACATATTAACATCTGTTCATAGAACAGTGAAGTAAAGTCAAGAAAAACAAGCATGTTAACCCAGAAAGGGCGAGAGTGAAAACTTTTGTCATGAAGGCAGGTGGGGACTTCCTCTTTTATTGAAGGTAGTTTTAACAAAATTTGCTTGAAGTTTGATAATATCGTTCGGCATATCTACTTGTGCATTACGGTTGATAGATTTTTCAGTCCCGGCCGGGAGTAAGACCCGCCGAGACTGCTGCCGGCCATCCACGGAGTTTTAAATGAATCGAGGGGGAGGAGGGGGTTTCGGGGGTTATTGAGGGGGAGGGGGACAATCAAACGCTTGCGTTGCTGGAGTTCATGAGAAATAAATAAATGATATTCAACGATCGCGACCGTCTTCCTGTCCCTCCACCCCCGCCACCCCTTCACCACCTCTTGCCCTTACCTGTAAATCCGTGAATTACCAAAATTGTCCGCCTTGAAATCTTGAAATGAGAGGCAGTGAGCTTGTTTATGTTGTGATCATCAATGAGCGTTGTTGAATTCCTGTTGTTTCTAGTAAAGAGATTAAATCTTGTTCCAATCTGGGATGGGCTCTGCGGTAGCTTTACCATTTTATTCGGATGAGGGTTAAAGCAACCATACTTTTGATAACACACTCTCTTTGGATCGGAAGTCCATACTGAAATGATAAAATTAAAAACGTACTTTTACTGAAATAGGTGACTGAATCTTCACATGCAAATCACAGGGACCGAAGCTAATCAGCAAGATTTGTTGTTGCGTGTAAAACAGTGATAAAATATACATCCAAACTTCTTACCTTGTCTTCTTACCTTCGAAGCTATTTTGTACGCGCGCGCGTTTTATTTTGTTAGTATTATTATCTTAAAAAAGTTAAGCATTCACAGCATGTTAATGATACTGTACTATACCTTTCTTTAGTTAATCCTTAGCACGCATAACAATATCCGTCTCCTTCTTCTTTAATATAGATTTAGACAAGGCTTAAGGCGAACCTTCTGTTAACAAATGCATAATTTACTTCTAACAATTAACCTGTAAATATTGCAAAGAAATCCACTTGGGTTAAGCCTGCGATCAGTTGAAAACTCATATACGTCAGCGGATGACTTGAAAACAGCTGAACATGCAACCTCGATGGGTCAACACCTGAGCCCGCGATACGGTCATGTGATATTGGTCAATAGATACCTTGTTTTGACAGCCGTCAATTGACCAAAACATGGATGTTGCCAGCTCCGACATGAGCTAGAAAGTGTGAGATTTGACATTGGTTTCCCTGTGGCGTGGACGGACGTCCGGTCACTTGACTACCAAAATTTCTTAGCCTGTGCCAGGCTCTCAGATAGACGTATTCAAAATAGGACGCGCGCGACTTGGAAAAGGGGACGGTGGCTGTCTCTCCCCAGCCCCCGCGCGTTTTTCGCATTTCTTTTTACTGACCGCCTTTTCACCACTATCTCGGAGCCTGGAACAGGCTAAAATTTGTTGGATAGATAGACAACTAAATTCTCTTGGCTAGGGTCCTCCGCTCGGGCGAGGAAAGTTACAACAAAATAAGACAAAACCCACAAACTGAAAATATGGTTTGTTTGTCCTAAAAGGTGCTGTGATGCCTTATATTTTATATATTAGAGCCCTACTGTTTCTGCGTCATTTTTATTATCAGAAGCAACCCCCCCCCCCCCTCCCCATTATTCTCTTCATTTGGTTGTTACTAACCGAAACGGAGAAAGGGGAAAGAGCAATAGTCAACGGAAAACGGGGACCGGGAACATGAAAAGTGGGAGCAATCCAGAGAATTGGAAAATAGGCTTCTCTGAGATTTCTGCGGTTGCCCTATCCTTTCCCAGCTTTCCATGTGTAAAAAGCTCCAGTTTATGAACTGTATTATTTGTTTCGGGGTCAAAGAAAGACGTGTCCGAGGGAGTTTCGTTTTCGTTCGAGGAGGGTATTCGGTTTTCTGGTCTTTTTTTTTCGAGAGGGGTTTTGGTATTTAACTGCCAAGATCGACATATAATAATCTATTAATCTGTTTTAAATCTTTTTCTCTTGTGAGCACAGCTAACAAGCCGCTAGCTAGGTTGTAGAGATAAGAGCCCCCGTTACTTACACCTTACATGGCTTACGCCAAGGAAAGTAAACTTAAATATTAATATGCATGCCTTCTACTGGAGAAATGATATAAAGCTCATAGCGAAAGCTAGTTAACCCAACCCAAGATCACCGAACCAACGTCAATTTTCTGCTAAATGTATTATCAAAAGATTAGGTTTTGAAAATGTATAAAATGATCACTTAATTACTGGGGGGAAAATGCTTTGATCCTCAAACAAATTCTCTCATCGTTAAGGAAACGAATGTAAATTGATAAGTCTGAGGAATTTTTTTTATGAAAGAGGGCTTGAAGGACCAAACACGAAAAATTCATTGACCTTACCTTCTGCAATCAAAAGCAGAACTGGCAAAACAAAGAGGAATCCCTTGATGGACATTCTGTCGTTTCGTCTTGAAATGTGTGATTGCCTCTTTCTTCTGCAATCTTAAGTAATGCTTCCCTGCTTAAGTTCTAAAACGCGATGAAACCTTCAGCCAATTTACAGCGGTTTGCAGCGCTTCCGTTCCCCAGCGCTGAAGCGGAAGTCAATTCTAATGGTTAATTTCCAGTGTCGCGTAATTTTTACATGCGGACGTGCGTAAAATTTACGTTCGCAAATAAATCATGAGGCAATAAATAAAAGGTCGCCTGTAAGCGTAAAAGTTGAACCTCGCCAAACTTCTCGTTTAAGCTCAGCACTTTTTATCTTGCCTCTATTTTATTTACGTGATTAAAATTTACGTGAGTTAACGTGTATAACCAAAAATGCATCAGTGGAAATCGACCTTAAGACCCTAGGAGCACTGTCATACGAGGGTGATCATCTCATTTTTCAGGTACTCGCGTGAGTGCAGGCATACAGGTAGCGTTCCTGCTCATTGTAATATTTTGCCACGCGAGCCACCACCTTTTCTAACTTCAATTTTCAAATAAAATGTAAACTGATACAATATAGATAAGACCTCGCGCACAAACGTAAACGTTGAGCTAGGTTCAACTATGTTGTGTTCTTAGCCATTTCAGTGTGATTAGAAGCGAGAGAAGACGGAAGAACTAAACCTAGCCTGTGTACAGAGAGCCCCTCCCCTAAAAAATATTCGGGGAGGACTCTCTCCCCGATTTTCTTTAGGGGAGGGGTCTTCTGTACACAAACTAAACCTAGCAACCTAAGAGCGCAAAGTGAATAAAACAGAAAGAAGTTCTGATGTATTTTTATTGTTGTTCTTTTAGCTCTTAAATAGCAATTGCGGATCCATTTAGGTTTCTGGGAAACTGCCCACCTTCCCCGCCCCCTAGACAACATCTTGCCCCAAATGAAAAGTAAGTGTAAATGTTGGCTTAAGGGAGGGGTAGGTGGGCAGTTTCCCAGAAACCTAAATTGATCCGGGTTACCTATTCGTAAAGTGATTTCTCCGCAGCAGTAATTCCACACAATTTCACCACTTTCACAAAAACCTACTTCAAGCCCGTATCATTGACCTTTCATTTAGGTGGAGTTACATTCTTTTAGCTGATTCTTTCAAATTGCAATGAAAGTGTGAAACACGGTCTAGGATGTTAAAACGGCCAGCATCAGGAGCCTCCATCTTCCAGAAGCTCTTGAAGACAATCCTTCCCCGTTCTAATTATTTTTTTAACACTTTTCGCAGAATATTTCTCACGCCTCATTAGTAATAAACATAAGTCACACGTTGAGTCCTGGACTCTTAATTTGAAAATCTCGGACAACAGTAGGGATAGAGTGGAAGATTTGTCGGACAAGAGTCTCCCAAAAAAAACATCTCCCAAAAGAGTGCTAAAGCCCAGTAAATACCGGGGAAGAAATAAGAAAATACAGTTAGACGACAGCTAATGGTAGGTTTCCCTTTGTCGCTTTTCCATCTATGTTATCAACGCGCTTAAAAACTAACGTCTGTACGCACGAAAAATTACTCGACAGTGAAAATCCACTCTGTGCTTACGCACGTGCATGTTACGTGCGCAAACATATTATAAACACCTTTAGATTTTAATACGTGGATGACTACGCGAACAAGATTTTCTCAATACTTTGTAGTGCGTGCGCGTAAACCAGTGTCATGAGGGACTTTAAGATTAAACGACGCGACAGCAACGAGAAAGTCGCTTAAAAAGTGAATTTGCGTGCTTTCAGTCTTTATCGCGATTATTCCTACTTACTTACTTTGTCAAATCTCGGCCAACCCTCCTGAAGTTGAATTCCAAGGGACCATATCAGGAGCCCACCATATTCCAGTTTACGAAAGCCGAAATTAAATTTCGCCCTTGCTTGTTTCCGTTCTCCACAAAACACGAAATTAGGCATTTTCATGTCGTAGCCGTGCAAAAACGGCAAAGAAATGTGCAAAAACTAGCGTGATTCATTAGTTGCTTTATTATTAGTTCAAATAATTCTTAGTTTAAAAACATAGCTAAAACATGCTTACCTGCATCGATGTTAAGTTTAACTTCGATAGTGTACGTTTAGGTTTGTCCAGCTCCGCAAATATTCTCCAAATAGCAGATGTCGCCCTCCGAGTTGTCTTCTTGCTGTTTTTGCTATGTTTTTAGCCATTATTTCGCCTAGTTCCAGCTGTAGTTCTTACTCTTGAAATGAGGGAAGTGTCCGCCATTTTAGTTTTCTCAACGAAAGCAACTCAACCTCGTCCCCAGGTCTTCTCGGTTAACGGTGCATTAACTGTAGAAGGCTGCATTTTTGGCGTCATTTACTCGTTAAACACAAAATTCTTCCAAATTTGGTCACCACTAACTGGTTATGGGGAAGTATGCCTGTACTTTTAGGCAATCAGAATTGGGGAAATGTTTTGAATGAATAATAATAGAGTTTAAGCAAAGAAGTTTTTCAGCGACTCACGTCAGCCGGAGATGGACTTTTTGCATTTTGCCCCCATTTTTGGCCCAAGCCTTTCCCTAAGAGTGAAGATATTTTAGTAATAAAAAAAGCTTTCTTCCGGTTGTCGTCAACACTCAAAAACGCCTTTGGTTAACCTTTGAACGTAAAAGTTGATCCCCGATCAACTTTAAAATTTAGCACTTAACTTCTACGTTAACGTGCGACATTCAGTTCCTTAAGGCGTAACTATTTCAGTAGCGCACGAAAAAATTAACGACAGTGGAATTCACCGCATAATTAGCCTCAGCTCCCGGAGCGGGTAAAAATCCTGTTGAAAAACAAGCTCTTCAGTTACCTTGTTTTCACTGGTTAACTCGCGGAAAGTGATAGAGCCCTTCACTAACTTCCACTCATAAAAGAACACACTACATTAAACCATACTTTACTTTTAACAAAATAAGGCCTGCATCATGTTTATACGACCAGGTGAAATACAGTGTACTCTGACGTGGCAAAAGTTCAACGTGCAAAGTTTTGTAAAAACTACCGGTCTTTTAATCATATAAGCTCAACAGCAAGCCTTTAAGACTACATGTCGAATAAAACATCAAGTTCAACAGGTATGCAATCAATTCAAAATGAATTTACTTTAATTCTTATGTACCATTCATCCATAAATTCAGGAACCAGTTGGTTCATGGCTAAGCTAAGAGGTATTTACGAGTAAATTTTTCAATGAACCTTATAATCGCGCGAGAAACGATCAAGTGATATACTTTCTTAGTCAAAGCGCTTAGAGAATCGCCTCACTACCGAAACTCATGAACGCTTAAACATCGGAAACACTACCGACAATTTTGTCCAAACAAGTGGTTCTGGTCTTGTCGATCGATGATACAAGCAATGTCTGTAAGTTTGAGCTTAGATGCTTTACATTAAACAAAATACGAATTGAGTACAGTCAACCGGAGCTTTTGTGTTTAACTTTTTTCTTGCTCTTTATTTTTGCTTTTGTTTTGTTTCATTGACTTTGTCTTTCTTTGCTTTTACCTACCTTCACCGAACAGTTACTGTAATGCAATTTAGCTAGTAGTCAAGCATTTTACGTTGTTTGCGGGTGTATATAAGTGTACTGTGTAACGGATCCCTGGTATCCGTTAGATGACTGTGGTTTAAGGCTTAGAAGAACGTACTCATTTGAACAGAATTGTTTATAGCGATTTACCTGCTGAGTGGTCATGATAACTATTTTAATTTGATCCATCCGTGCACTCAAGAAATTCAATACTCGACTGTGTATAAGTTTTGAACCACAAAACATATTTCCATTTTTATACCAAGTAACCGGGGTATCAGGTGTCTTAGGGTATATACCAATAAAATTTCCCAGAGGGAAGCCCAAGTTCACGCAAATATGCGTCTAGTTTATCCACAGGGCGCCCACAAAATCTGTGCGAAGGATTTTGAGATCGCTATTAAGTGTAACTCCTTCTAACTGTTCCAACTCAAAATCCTCCAAAATCGCTAAAAGACGTCGACAACCTGTGGTCTCTGAAAGGGAAAGACAGTCAACTCCCCCTTAAGGGTCGACACTTCTTAAGAACAGACACCCAGTGTTGGTCTCTGCCGTTTTTCAGTCATTTTACTGAAACCATACTGTCTATAACACGGACACCTCTGAGACGGACAATGGACACTTTTGAAACCTTCAACGGACATGCACTTACGGAAATGTAGGCGCTCTACGTGATAGTTAATTGCAATTTAGGGGAAGCAAATTACAAAAACAAATACATTGCATTGTAATTTCTTAACATTTGCTTTATTAATAACAGAGACTTGTAATCATTGCATCCAACTTATCTCACACTTTTGTGACAACTGTTCTCACTGCGTCTGCCCTACAAATCAAAGAAACGATCATGTTATCTGTTGGTCATTGGTTAGGGGATATATAATACGTGTGGATCAGTAGCAACAGTTCCATTTTGGGCTCCTGCCTGCATTGGAGGTTCCAAAATAAAAGTTGGAGGAAGAAGGGGGTTGGCGGGGGGTACTTGACCAATATTTGGGAAAAGATGAGCCGCTGAGGGTTTGAAACCCTAATCTTGTTTAGGACGAAAAACCCTAAAGTGCATATCCTGTTTAGGACAACACCCTCAATTTTAATATACTATTTAAGGCAATGAAATTCTGAGTCGCTGTATGTCATGTGGCTACATTCGACTGAAAAAATTGAAAAGAAAATAAGAAAAAAAAACCTAAATGCAGCAACGTGATAGGTACTTAGTTACTGTAATTACTCGAAAGAGCGCCTCCCTCAAATTAACGCCCCACCTTCCAAGCAACAATGCAGCGCTTTAAGTAAGTGAGTAACTATCCATCTAAGTATCTTACTAAATAACTAACTAACTAACTAACAAGCTATTTTTTTTCTGAGTTTTTCTTCCTGGAGGATAAAACATCGGTACCTGAAGTTTTCAGTAGCTGTCCATTCATCCCTCTCACATATTTTGAGACAAGTTTAGTGATGATCAGTTACTATGGTTACGAGCTATGACGTCATAAGTAGCAGGTGGTCAACCCACTTTTGGGTGAAAATTCATGTTTTTCAACTTCTTTCAACAATAAAAGTAAATCTTGTGGCTAAAATCATGCAAAGTGCTTATTTATGTGCTATTTTTCATGTAAAGCACATGTGTTAAAGTACATATCCTGTTTAGGACAACACCCTCAATTGTAATATACTGTATAAGTCAAACAACAAAATGAACGCCGTCTTGTTTTTTAAAAAGCAAGTGGAAATGAGAAAACTGACGTTATAGTCATTGCTTGTAAAGACCTGGAGCACAAATAAATTTCATCAAACAAATCAACTCAATCGTGCAGGCAATATCCTGTTTACCATTAGGGCAGACTTGCCGGACTCGCACGAGATTATATACCCTGTTCAGGATCGCCGGACAGAAAGGACTAAAAACATACCCTGTCCATCAGCACATCCCCGTATAGGGCATAGAGGGGAGAACCCCCTCCCCCACCGGGGTGGAAGAAAAGGCGGAATTTCATTCCGTGAAAAAGCGTGTAGCGTGGAGAGGGGCAGCAACAGGAATCCTTTTCTATTCTTGCGTGTTTCCCGTGTTTTACCCGCGCCCGCCAACCACTTAATCCCTTTCCCTTTTCCAAATGCAAGCCGCGCAATCTACTAATGACATCGAACTGCTTTTGAAAGGTTTGAAATCAGGAGTCATTTCATAAGTAGGTAGCATATGATCGTCCGGGTGAGTGAAGTCCTGAACAGGACTGTTGAGGACAGTGACTGACGTTTTGACAACCTGTGCGGTAGTCATCCTCAGAGTCAAAGTGGGTTGTATAACGTCAGTTGATGGTCTTAAACTATGTTCTTCTTTACCTGATTAGTCAATTAAGTCGCGATGTTACTGGTCGCCTGTCAGTTAAGCCACATGAGGTTATTGTCTATGAAGACATTATTAAATGTCATTGGTACGTCTCGATCCGTCTATTGTCATAGTATAACAGCCATTTAGTGCCACTGTCGTGCTATGAAGAGCTCAATTTATTCTTTTGGGGGAACAACTTACCGCAGAATGGATCGTTCTCGTCTGTATTTAGGTAGAATTTTCCATAGCCTTTAGGGCTGTCAGCTTCGAAACCCATGTTAGGACATATACCATTACACGCCGACGCTGGACATTTCTTTTGCTTGAAGGACTGGTAGTCGTCGCATGGATATGCGGTCCACGAACACGATCCCTTCACGGAGGCAATGAAATACTGCGTCGCTCTCACGTGGCTACATACGACTGAAAGAATTGAAAAGAAAATTTAAAAAAAAACCTAAATACAGCAGCGTGACAGATACTTACTTACTGTAATCACTCGAACGAGCGCCTCCCTCAAATAAACACCCCACATTCCCAGCAACAATGCAGCGCTTTTTTTATTTTCACTGGTTTTGCCACTTTTATTTTTTGAGAACGTAAGTAAGTAAGTAACTAACTAACTATCCATCTAAGTATCTTACTAACTAACAAAATAACTAACTAACAAGCTAATTAACTATTAACCCTCTGACGTACATAAGGTGTTTCTGAGTTTTTTCCTTTGAGGATAAAACATCAGTACCTGGCATTTTCGTAGCTGTTTATTCATCCCTCGCACACATTTTGAGACAAGTTTAGTGATGGTCAGTTGCTATGGTTACGAGCTGTGACGTCATAAGTAGCAGGCGTTCAAGCCAATTTTGGGTCAACAATAAAAGTAAACCTTGTGGCTAAAATCATACAAAGTGCTTATTTATGTGTTATTTTTCATGTAAAGCACAAAAAATTACCATTTCTGGCGGTTTTAACCTGATTTCTACTTCTTGGTAAAATCCAAGATGGCGGCCAAGATGGCGACTATTGTTGATGACGTCACAGGCCTCCAGCAGCGCCACCACCCCTAAAATATACCTCATCTTGTTAAGAAGATCAAAGGCTTTCCACAAAAGGTAAAATCGTTTTAAAATACTGCAACATTTCAAAATCTCCGGGGAGGGGTTCCATACCCCCCCCCCCCTTTGTACCACCGTGGGGGTATGAATTTGCGTGTACATCCGACTAACGAAACTGACTAACGAAATAACTAAGTAACTAGCTAGCTAATTAAAATCTTATATAGGAACTGCGGCGGAACAATGAAAAACAATAAGAAAAACGTTTTTTTTTAATTGCGATGAAGCCTGAAACTAGTACCTATAAAAATTGCGATAAAACATTTCTTAAAATCATTTTAAGATTAAAAATTTTACGAACGTTTTTGAACGTCATTATCAAGTCAAAATAAGTTAGTGATTTTTGGTCTATTTTTTTAACAAATTGTAACGATGAAGCCTGATGAAAATTTTCAAATTCAGGGTTGCACTTTCGGGATTCGAACCTTTAATTTCATATGATCTGAATTTTTTCAGGCTCTCTTTACGCAGCTACTACAGTTGCGTCTATAAATGCGATGATCATCTGAAATTTGAAATAAGTAGGAAAGTAAATTCTGAAGATCGAATGCAAAATATGTATGCTTGGCCTAAATTCACTTCATAAACAATAAAGATGGGCGTATTGTTGTCTTTTTTAAGAAAAAGTTTACATGACTTAGTTGAGGTTTCTTTCGCGGTTCACATCTTTCTTAAGAAGCTTTAAGAAGAGCAAAGGATAAAATAAAATTTTAAAAAATTTTCTAAGGAAATGAAGAACAGTAGTGATATTTCCAAAATGAAAGATTTATGTGACAGCCACCCCCAAGAAGCCGAGAAGCCAAAAAAATTCAATAAGCGCCCTCGCGGTGCTTTTTCGAGTATAAAGGACGATTTAATGGGGAAAACCGGCAAAATCAAAGAAACATAGATTTCACATAAGATTTTAATTAATCTATTATACAGCATGTGCTATTTGCGAGTTCAATAACCCCTCGCTATCCACGAAAATGCAAGAGCAAAACCTTTCTTGTGAAATAAACGAGATTGATTTGCATGACAAGAAAGTGCCATTTTCAGTGTCGCTTTAAAATAAAAGCTTAAATAATTGGAGCACCTCGAAGACAACTCATGTAAAATTTTGAAAATTCCCTTTTTTAACCTACCATTGACTAGACATCCGGGCTGATGTTTGCCACCATTTGGATAAAAGTCGATGTCTCCAACCCTCTGGCTTGTTCCCAAAAATCCTGCATTGGTGTGAATCACGTCGACATAGTTGGCGTCACTTTCATCAAGTCGAAAGTCTTTTTCCTCGTTTGTAAACTTAGGACCAGCAGGATCCAAGCCTGTCATCCCACCAGAAAAGAATAATATAACAGTCAAGTAGATAAGAACAGAAGCAAAGTTGTGGAACTCATAGTGGAAGTAGTAATGGTGAACGCAGTGGTAGCGGTGGTGGTACTAAAAATAGTGGTGGTTATGATAGTCATAGTGGCTGTGATAGTGGTAATGGTGTTGGTAATGGTAGTGGTAGTCGGTTGTGAAAGTGGTAGTGGTGACGGTAATGCTGGTGGTAGCGGTAGTGGTGGTGGTGGTAATGGTGGTGCTAATGGTAGTGGTAGTGGTAGTGGAAGTGATAGTGATAATCTCGTGGTGGTAATGTTAGTGCTAGTGGTATTGGTGGTGGTAGCGATAATGGTGGTGGTAATGGTAATGGTAGTGATATAGTGCTAGTGGCAGTGGTAGTGGTAGTGATAATGGTGGTGGTATTGGTAGTGGTAAGTGATACTGGTAGCGGCATTGATAGTGATAATGGTGGTGGTAGCGGTAGTGGTAGTGGTAGTGGTAGTGTTAGTGGTAGTGGCAATGATAGTGAAAATGGTGGTGGTAATGGTAGTGGCAGTGAAAGTGATAATGGTGGTGATAATGGTAGTGGTAGTGATAATGGTGGTGGTAATGTTAATGGAAGTGGTAGCAAAACTTAGCAGTGGCTAGGTAGTAATAGCAGCAACAGCTGTTATAGTAGTTACGCCTTAGAAAAAATCAGGAGAACTCCCAGGAAAAATAAAATAAAGTAAGTGACAAGTGGCTGTAATATTGACCTTGCTGTTTAGTATTGGATAAACCGACAAATGAATATAAACAGTTTGGTAAAATTTGCTTTTAGGTTAGTCCTTACCAGTAATACGACCCAGTTTCATTCCCTGATCCTTCAAATAGCTTCCAGCATATCCCGCTGCTTGAGCTCCAAGACTGAACCCCACAATGTAGAAACGATCGATCGAACCGACTGATCCAGGGCTACTCGAAATCAGGAACCTTATAAGCTCGGCTGTCTGAGCACCCACAAGCCGTGTGTTCCCGGCTGCCTGGAGGTAATTCGGTCCTTTAGCCCCTTTAGACCAGTCCACCAAAATCACATTGCAGTCTTCGCGTCGTAGCAGAGCATTTTTCATCTCTGTGGCCCAGGTGTTAATGTTTTCTGTGCAGTAATTATGAGTCAGTCACCGAAAGTCTGTGGCTAAAGCTTATATACTTAGTTAGGTGGCAAAAAATGAACTGATCCTTGCTCCATGAAGAGTGAGAAGAATATAAAAAAAAGTTAAATGGTAAAGAGCGGCATTTGTCCGATCGTTCGGTTTACTGTTCTAAAGATTTTTACAAATCTAGGTCTACACAAAATCTGTCTGTCGTTTTGACATTATTGTATAGCCTAAGAAAACAGCCAACGTTTCGCGACGACGCCGCACCGGTTTCCCCGCGAAAGACGTCTGTGAACGACTACAGAAATCCATAATAATGACTTGCAACCTCCCAAAGCTGGGTAGTACTTGTGATTGGTTGAAGCAAATTTTTCTCGCTCCACGAACAATCAGAAGCACTGCTCAGATTCTGATTAGTTTAGAGATTTCTAGCACGAAAAATACAACCATAACTAGCCTAAAAAAAGTAATTAGGCTGTGACCGACTTGTTTCTCAGTCTCCTGGCTCTCGCTCTTACCTGTAAAACCGTGGATCACGAAAATTGTCAGTGGTCTTGAAATAATGAAGTGAGAGGCACTGAGCTTAGATTCATTTTCATCATCAATGAGCGTTGCTGAATTCCTGTTTTCTCTTGTAAAGAGATTGAATCGTACTCCAATCTGGGATGGGCTCTGTGGTTGCTTTACCAGAGGGTTTGGATGAGGTTTAAAGCAACCATACTTTTGATAACAGACCTCCTTCGGGAAAAGCAATGCTAAAAATAACGTATAGTGAATGTTACGTTTAGACGGAAAGGGGGCGGGGCGAGAGGGGAGGGCTACTGGCATAGGTGTGCCATTTGAACACTAACTTCTTTTGTCCTCTCTCTGGGGAATTTGACCACCAATTTTGCCTCAACCTGGGGTTTTGTTATCCCCAGAAAGGGATATTTTGTCAAAATTGAACTATTATCCATTTTCGAGGATCAGAAATTTGACCAAAAAATATTTTTTTCGGTGAAGAGATTGAATTCTGCTCCAGCCTGGGATGGGCTCTGCGGATGCTTTAAATGCTTTTGAGGTTTAAAACAGCCATAGTTTGGATAATAGACTTCCTTCTTTGGTGGAAACAGCCGTGCTAAAAGACTTACGTAACCGTTTACACTTAAAAAGATGACTGAGTCTACAAATAATGACCTATCCGAATAGCTTCCAAAAGAAGACATACCAAATAAAGCTGACTGGCACCCGCGCGCATTCTGACAATAATAATAAATAATGATAATGGTTAATAATAAAACTCTGTTTATTGAGGGTAAAACTTAATATCTCTCGATAATCCACACGTGGCCCGCAGAAAAAATGAAAAAAATAAAAGTAAAATAAAACAACACAACAATCAATCAAAATACAGACATTCATAGGTTAGATTCATCATTATTTTTAGTGATCACGTTGTGAAATAAGGTTGAAAATACAGGTCTTCGTAATAAAAGTAAACATAAACCTCGAAGCTCTTTGATTTGGGTTAACAGCTCAAAAGAGATCTAGAGTCACGTTTACGGAAAAGGGTCAACGTCAAATCAGTACCACGTGACCCTTTACTTGTCTTTTACTGTTAATTAATTCTCCCAATTACAAAATTAATAGTAGGCTCTCGTTAGTTTGTCCATAAGAATCGGTTTGCACTGTTTTTAGCTGCTTATCTTCTATTTTGAGAAATTCTTGATTTGAATGTGACGTTTGCCATTTGCCGTGAGCAGGCTCTATCTCTCTTTAATATTAGACCACCGTTGTTTCCTGAAAAGTTATTAATAATCTATGACCGGGGGGGGGGAGAGAAGGTTGGGACAAAGACAAATTAAGTAAAATTGTACCCTCACCTATTGACCCATAACAGCATAAAAAAGCACTTGCCCATATTCACCTGCTTTTGAGCCTTCTTAACCACCCCCCCCCCCCCCTCCAACCCCGCCCCGCCTCGCGACTCCATTCCACCTGGACATAACCACCCCGAGGTTATAATTAACAAACAAGGCGTCGTTATCGTTTGCTTTTCTCGAAAAATAACTTTTTTCCTCTCAACTTCCTGTAGAATATGCGTGTAATGAAATGATGACTAGTGGAATAAGCAACTAATTCCACTTGTGTTTTGTCAAAATTCGAATAATTTCCTTCCCTGATCAGTGAACCATATTACCTATCAGCGATTATATATATCGTGACCTTCTTATCATATTCGGAACTACACACGCAAAAAAGTTTAAACATACATTTTCAACAAAGTTCACAACTTTAAGTTCATTCGAAATCATCTTTAAACCTGGATGCCATCTTGGTATTCAGTTATTCGCGGAAGTTACCGCAGAAGTTTCGTTCGTGAAATTAGTTTAACCCTGAAATCTCTCGCCAAAATTAAGGAGTAATTTATCATCAATTATTAATCGTCGTCTCTTTTTAACACAGCTAACATTTCAAGCCGCTGAAATGGTAGTCCCTCGTTAGTTACAGACCTACCGTATACAATGGTGAATGTAAGGAGTTATATATAAGTTAAATTCCGTATGTCTGCCGCTTAAGTACCGATCGCAATGAACATTGTGGAACATCAATATAGCGCCTAATATAATGCTAAATTTAGAATCAGTTCCCCAAGTCAATTATTTTTGCATCATGACACAGCAATAAAAGTGCCCTCTCTTAGAAAGTATTTCGTTGTATCGAGGACTTCGTTATATATCAGAGGCGTTTAAAAGTGGGAGGCGTTTATTCTCACAACTGTAACAAGCACTACAAGAAAATTAACTCATATGCTTTCAGAAAAAATATCAAAAAACTTTTAAAATATCGAAATATCCAGGTAAAGGTGTTCTAAACTCTACAATAGAATTTTAAGTTTAAAATTTGCTTTTGTTAATAGTGGCCGAGGACTTCGTTATATAGAGGTTCGTTAAATCGAGGTTCCACTGTATTTTTTTCACACCAGACTCTGTCCCCGTAGTCAAACAATGAGATGATTAAGCAACTGTATAATGTTGTCCGTGCTTCTAATGGTAAAAGATGTCGTCGCTATCGTCCATCCTACCCACTCCTAAGCCTTTCGCTTAAGATTACCCTTTACAAAACATAGCCTTACCTTCTGTAAATACAAGCAAAGTTGGCAAAATGAAAATAAATCCCTTGATGGACATTGCCGATCCTTGTCTTGAAATCAGTTTGATTATAGTTCCTCTGCAGTCTTAGTTATGCCTCAGTGCTTTGGTTCCCAAGCCGATCTGTAACGGATATGAGACTAGCAATAGACGAATTCCGATATACAGTTAAAATTCATACTTGGGGCTGCATCTTGAGGCTTGCGGGGAATAATACATTTCTTTTATTTTATTTCCCCAAGCATGACGGAGCCAAGTATGAATTTTGATATATCGAAAATGGACCCTATTTACAGTGCTTCAGTTCCCAAGCGTGGACAGACTGACTCTGAGTCAGAAACACTTAACAGTTATCAATTCCTTTTCTGGTGCTTATATAATTACACTGTATCAGTTCTGTTGGAATATGTGTATTTATCACAGGCTAAGTAAGCTTTTTAGGTAGGTGTTACATGGTATTTTATAACAGTTGTTCATTGGCGGATGGTTAGTATAAATATTTGTAAAATGGCTAAATCCGCGAGCGCGCAAAATGAAGCGAATCCTACGTTCTGATTGGCTACCCGAGCGGGCAAAGCCGCTCGGGGATTTCCCGCTTTAGTCGCGCAAGAAAAAGTTCTCTTTTTGGCCATATAATAGATTTTTTATTGACCAAGCTTGTTTGGTAAAAATGGCTGTATATTGGCCTCCTTATTTTCTGCATGCGTTATTTTTAACCTCCACTTTGTCTCGGTCAATAAAAATGCAGAAAGGTCGTATATGCTAGCTGTCAAGACCAATTCCACGACGATCATTTTCGTTTTCATTATCCCGATCTAAAGAAGGATTAAACCAGTGACAGCAGCACAGCAGAAAAGAGCACAAAACGCAAAGTTTAATTAAAGACATATTATTACGAGAGCCCTAAAGTGGAAAGTGGATCGAAAAATAGTGTTCACATAGTTCGCTAGCTGATATTGCCAGGGCACATTGTACATTTCTCGTGACTATAAGTTAACTTTTCGAACTGTAATCATATCTTCGTAATTCTTTTGTCTCACTTCCATTACCTGATCTTATCTGTCTATTTCAAACTTAATCATTTCCCAAATCATTTAGGCCGAATTGCGAAGGATTTTAACCCTATTCATACCGGGAAGGCTTCGGCGAAAATGATTAATAACTTAAAGTCCTGTCTGAATAGTATGAATCAGTGGTCGGCCCTTGCTTTGGGCCTCGTGTTGCGCGTATCCCTTTTGTTACGTTTTTTCTCCTCTTTGAAAGGAATTCGCTTCCACACGAAAACGCAATAGTGAGTGAAAAAGGTAGCATCTTTGACGGGAGCATGCGCATTTGCTGCTACCGTCAAAAACAGGTATGTGAGGACGGGCCTTAATTATCCGAGGATCATAAACTAAGTTATCAACGGAGAATGTCGATTGAACTATTTGTTTGTCGTTCATTTTCACAACCTGAAGGAAATATTAAAAGAAAAAAAATTCCTTGGGGTTCCGTTTGCTTAAGAACACTTTTCTTTTTCATCATTTTATCACTTTTATCATAAAATTATAATTAATTATAATAATTATAATAAAATAATTTTATATAATTATAATTTAATTTTATTATATGATTACTTTAATTTTCAATACAGCCAAACCCTGCTTTAAGGACAACCGCTTAATACGGACACCTAGTTCAATTGTTGGCTGGATCTGAATAACTAAGCGAATTTTTTCTAGTCGGTGAATGTGATGTTTTCCTGATATTGTATCACGCTGGGCCCAGCTCGTTAGTTTTGTTTGCAAAAGCATTTTCTTAGACCTCTTTTGAGGTCAAAATAAGGCTAAATAAGGCTTTTAGGTTTTTAATCTTCTCCAAAAGAGAAAAGGAGAGAGACTTTCTTGATTTGACTTTAGTGGCCAACGTGGAACCTTCGATCGAGGGTGACTTTGCTGTCCGCGAATTGACACGAACAGATTTTAATTTTCTCCATGCTGGGCTGGCTTTGTCCGACGTGTCAAGAGTATATTTGCTGCTCTTAACCGGGGTTCGTGCTGTGGATGTATTTGCAGTTTTAATGAACTGGTAAAACTGGCCCAAATTACGAATTTTCCGGCAACATGGGTTACAGACCCGATAAGAATATTGCATGAAATGAAAAAAAAAAAAAAAAAAACGGCAATCCAACTTCTTTACAAATTTCGGCTGACACAACCTCAAAGCAATCCTTTCGTTTTGATGGCCTGAACAGATTTTCTGAAGGAGAATGGCCTTGCTTTCCAAGATTGCTTCCAAATTTAACTTTAAACGAAATCGTACATAACCTGCAATAATCACTGAGACTCGAATCAGACGACAATACTCACCCTGATACTCTTCTTCCCATAAACAACTAGCAGCTTGCATAAAGTACACTACAGATGTGTTTATTTTTATTTTATCAGAAGTGAAGGGAGCTTCCGGTGCAATAGTACTTCGGTGTTGATTGGTCGGCTACTCATTTCCGGAACAGCGGTCAAGCGCGACTAAGTCGGGGGTGTTTCTCATTTTCACAGTGTTTTTGGGCAGGCGTTTTCTCTTCTCTCTCCCCGCCCCCTACCCCGCTCCTTTTGGCTCGCACTATTTTCTTCCCTCTTTTCGAGTTTCATC